GTGTTGCTGCCCCCCCCAGCTCTCCCACAGCGCAGTCGCTTTCTGGCTGGAAGCGCTTTATTGCTCGCTCTGCCCTGCACCACCCTCCTGCCCAGCAGCACCCATCTGCACCGAGGAAAGTCCCTCCTGCCCTCTGCTGCGCTGCCCGTGCTCTCGTGCCAGCCCTGCGGCAGCACGTGCCGCTCCCCAGGGGCGAGGGAGCCGCACGCCCCTGGGCCCTGGGATGTAGAGGGGGCAGCTCGCCGGCCGTCGCTGGTGGGGCTGTCGGCGTGGGGGGCAGCCCGGGGCAGCGCCCTCGATGCCTCACTCGTGTTTGCAGAAGCTCTTCAGCGGCGGGGGCAGGTCCAGGCCGTCGATGGCCAGGCGGTGGATGATGTGCTTCTGGATGACCAGCCGGCAGAGGGTCTGCAGGGAGGGAACTGGAAGAGAACAGAAAGCAACAGCTGAGCTGGCCAAGTCACCGGTGAGGCTGAGAGCAGAGGGGTGTGGAGGAGATGGGCCCCGAGGCTCCCCAGAGGTGCCATGGTTTAGGGCAGCAGTGGATGAGCTTGCTCTGTGGCAGGAGCAGGCATCATCCTGCCCCGGGCTCAAGTTGGCTGGGCAGGAGAGTCAGTGCCAAGGTGCTCCGGCCGGGACAGGAGCCTGAGGGCTGCTGGCTGTGAAGCTCTTCCCATCACCGGGAGGAAGGCTGGGAGGACAGCTACATGCCCAAGCTGTGTGTTACTGCGGCTGGTTTGCATTTGTTTTCTCCAGGGGCCATGGAGTGTGCTCCCCAGGCTCCCGTGTGCCCACACTGTGCTTCCCTTTCATCCCGCTCCCTTTGTCTGCCTCCGCCAGCGCCAGTGCCAGGCTGCCGGGTGGGTGCCCGCAGCCGGGGCTGCGCTGGCTCAGAGGCCGCCCTGGCGATGCCTTTGAGACCACCACCTTCTGAGCCGTTCCCATGGCTGCCTGGGTCCTGCCCCTGTGACACGCACGCCTGTGGGACGCCTCTTTCAGGAGCCCTTGGTGGCTCAGCGGCGTGGGTACAATTAGCTGCGGCCAGCGCTCTCCTCCGATTTTAAACGAGGGCTGACTCAGGTGTAGCCTGTGGGCCTTGGTTCACCCGCTGCCTCCAAGAGCCAAACCGAAGGAGAGCGCGGGTGCAGGGCGTCGCGCTCGGCCGGAGTGGAGCTGTGGGTGGGACCCAGCCGTTTCGCCCGCAGG